GTGTTCCCACCTCCTGCTCTTTGTAACTTAACACCATCTTTCCGTTTTCGAGTTTTGGACATGATTTTGGAGGATATATCTTCGCAGCAGCGATTGACCGCAAAGTAAAGCTACCGGAAATGTACAACCCTACATCCGGTCTCAAACCAGGAAGTTAGCATTTTCTCGTGCACAGGGTCTATCAGCTCAAATCCATCGGCAGCCTTTGGAGCTGTTACAGGAACTATTATTACTAGAGACACTGAGACTGTGAAGGAGACCAAACAGGTGCGCTCGAAGTAAAGAGATCTTCACTCTGCCTGTACATTACATCAGCAGGTGTTTGCTTCTGCATAAACCCTCCAACACTGCCTATAAATATCATCATGGTCGCTCATTTAATCTCTAATAAGAGGGCCAAGATATTTGTCCAGATCTGACAATTTAAATGTCAGAAATCTATTTTTTTTCAGCTTGTTTGGTTTTTTTAAGGTGAGATCCTGACTCCGCCCTCCTGAAAGAGTAGTGGAATGTCAGCAAGCAGTACTCGAGTAAATGTACTTCTACTTTCCTCGTTAGGTTGCGCGTACGCAGTCGGCCGGTGTGACCTGAGCTGACCGTGGGGCGGGCAGCGTCGACCTCGGCGGTGTCAGATTTGACCCAGAAAGCAGCGGCGCTGCACTGATCCTGTTCATTTGGTGGGGATTTTGGTCACAGATTACAAAAGCTCAATACCATTTGTTTTGTAACAAGCGTGTGAAGTCAACACTCATAAAAACGCTGCCACTCCGGACTTTGAAATGCTGCAGGACCTCGTTACAGGCTTAATGACTGTTGAGCACATCCAGCGCTGAGGGAGCAGAAGCTCCCGCTAAGCTTTCCAAGGAAAAGTACTTCTTTGATTGTTTGGTCAAAATCTCCTCTGAAAGCCGCAGAACAAACCAGAGGAGGGATTATCCTCCTTTGGAGAGGAAATGAAATTCTTCAGAAGAGGCACTTAAACGGGTTCCAGCTTCTGCGAGTGTGTGTTGGGGGGAAATACGAGCGGCGCTGTATGACTTGTTAGCTCCAACAATTTGACACATCATCCAAAAAACGAGGCTCCAAAGCTCATTAGAACAACAGAAAGCGCAGCTGTGGGCTCGGCAAAACCAAACATCAAATCCTGAAAGATGAAGCCAATGAGGAAGGAAAAGCTGCAGTTCCTCTAACGTCCAGCAGAGGCACCAGCAGTGAGTCAGTCCCCATAGACCAGAAATAAACATGTTTACAGCCTGACACACAAACTGCTTCGTCTCTATGGGTAATTACCACCTTTGTAACACCTGTACAGGTGGAGAATGCTTAAATTGTATTAAAGCTTAACATTTGCGCTAATAGGGGCGTGGCCTCTTTGACTGACATCACTAGCATTACCTGATAACTTAGTGCTTTACCTGTCTTGCTAAAACCAGGACGGTGATGACCACAATACTTAAACCAGTGATGTCACAGTAGCTACAGCCATCATTTATTTACAGCTTATATTTTTAAGACACACCCTCTAATGACAGCTGTAACAATGACTGAAGGATGGGGGGGGAGGTCAGGTTGATGGAGCTGATGCACTTGAACAGGAAACTGATGTTTATGTCCAGTTTCATATCGGTATCTTAACCACATCTGTGCCTGTGTGATGCACAATTACAGTTTATTAGTGCATCTTCTTAATAGAGCTTGCTAGCATTAGCACTTTACCCTCGGGTGCTGAATGTAGTCCCTTCTGGCATTATCCAGAGCACTACTGTTCAGACTTCAGCCTTTTATGTACAGCCTAAGGTTTACCATCAAGTGACACTGCCCTCTAGTGGTGACTTGAAAAAGGGACAGAGGTGGTTAGGGTGGATGGATGGGTCAGTAGATGACAAAATATCTCCTTTGTGTCACATTTCAAAGAAGTTCTTGCCGTTATCTGTGTGATGTATCCATACAGGCTAACACTTTGCATCCCATGCTAGCTAGCATTAGCAGATAGCTTCCACACCACGTGGGCAAACGTTTGAGGCTAAAAAACAAAAGCTGTGGCTTCAAAATCTGAAGCCAAGAAACCAGTGGGTGACCTCATGATGATAGCGTGGAAGCTGGATCCCATCTTTTATGTACAGTCTTTGCATTCGAACTAAAGTCAGATTGTTGAGTTTGTAGCAGAGCTGAAAACGTGAACCAAACTAGGCCAGTTTAAGTGGCAGCAAAGTGCAGCTTTGAACCCTGCTCAGTGTTTCTGACACATTCAGATTCTACAAAAATAGGCACACCTTTGTTCTTCTGAAAGGTGAAAGGCGTTGTGCTGAGGACATAAGGAGGTGATCAGCTGCCTCTTCAGTGAGTTTTATGTCTCAAAGATGGACTCGAGCATGTCATCTATCCTCAGTGTTTTACTTCTGCTGCTGAAATTTATGATAAAGTTTCATTTGGTGGAGAGCTGTGTCTCATGTATTTGAAACTCCTCAGATTTGAGCCAAGCCCTGCAAGGATCCTGATCACAGAGGAAACATGAAGCTCGGAGTAAAACGTGTGAATGTTTCATGGGGAAGGAAATGCATTTGTCAGTTTGCGTGAGGCTCAGTGATGCGTTTCTGTGAGAGACGAGCATCACTGCGTTTACCGCAGGAGGAGCCCGAGAGGGGACGAGTGTGTCGGTAAACATTTGGTCGCGTTTGGCACATTCTGGGACAAAGTTTTGAACACGCACCTCTTTAGTAAACTCCTGGGAAAACTGCGAGCTTCCCTCCGTGCCCAATCTTCTCCCCATCGTTGGATTTGAACAAACACAGTGATCAATGTGCGCCGAGCTGGAAAAACAGCGAAACTTGGGCCTATTAGCGGTTTTTGGAGACCAGGCGGGTCCCTCAGTAACGGGGTCAGGAGTCTGTTGGCCTCCTAACACGTTGCGACTCCGCCGGCCTCGAAGCTGTCTCCTCGCTTCATTCTCATTCGCCGGCCCGCAGCGTCTCTCACTCATTTGAATATTTTCTGGGCTGATGAGGATGCGAGGGCGGCGAACCGAGGGCCGAGAGGGTAACGTAATTGCAGGGGACAAAATAATGACCAGTTGCAGCAAAGTCGCTAAAGTGTGTCATCCATTAAAATGCAAGCGTGTGGCTGAGCACGCTTTGTGGCATCGGCCTCGTTGGATGTGACAGCAGAAACAAGATGAAGTGAGGACACGCCACAGTGGCGTCCTCAGACCCTCTGATGCTTCCAGGGTTTTGAAAACTGTTCAGGACCTAACAGGTCCATGAGCTCCACATCACAAAATGATCCGGACGCAGATGGGATCCCAGCTGGAAGATGACCTTGATTTAAGTTTGATCCAGTAAAACGTGACAAACATTAGCGTCCGCTGTTCACTCTGCGCGGGAAGAAAACTTGTTTCTACAGCGAAAAATGAAACTTCAAATCTGAGCGAGCAGCGAGCACGCTGCCACGGGAACGTGACATTGACAGAGAAATCCCCACTGACACGCCCGCTGTGGGCAAACCTCCACCCGCCCCACTCCTGCCAAACAGGTGACAACAGATTTAAGAGCTGCTCAGTCTTTGATTTTATTTATTTTCTGCTGTGTTTTACTCTATTTGAAAGAGTGTAAACACAAAACAGTGTTTTATTTTATTTTATATGCTGGAATATGCAGACAATAGGTTTAAATGTTAAACACATTTCTTCTTGCATATAGTTTAATTTTTGCTTGATGCAATGTGCAAAAGTTAAAAGATTAAAACTAATAAAACTAAATAAAAGTTTTAAAAGGAGACGTTTTCATTTGATTCAGTTTATATGATGCAGAAAAAATAGAACTGGGCTGGAAGGTCTTTGTCTTTATTACGTACTCAGGTTGTGTATCATGCTTTCAAAGAGTAACTAAGTAACTAATTCGTTTTGAAAATAAGTAACTTTAAACGTGTTTTTCTGCCGTCGTTATGAAGTTCAGCAGAGCAGTCAAAACAGCTGGAAGCATAATTTAAAAGTACTAAATGGAGGTCCTGTAGAATATTCATAGTATGAAGGTAAAACTTAGGATTTATTAAATATAATAAAGTTATTAATCTAAAAAAAAATCAGCTGATTCTGAGGGGGTCAGGTGAACCAATGGGGACCTGTCTGTGTTTGTATTGGGCGTGAGAGAGGACGGGCTGTCTCAGTACAGACAGAGGATCATCAGGCAGAAGCTGAGAGGTCAGAAGGTCACCAGCGTCCTACAGGACATGATGAGGATTCCAACGAGCTCGGCTCATGTTCACAAAATCAGACGAAGCTTCAGATGTTGAGGCGAGTCAAGAATGTCTTCAGTCAACTTCCAACCTCAGAAAACATCAAATTTAAGAAGTTGGGAAAGTTTTCCTGGCTCGGACTTCAGAACTTCAACGATTTGCTTTTAATGACTGGAGCGGAGGCGTCACAGCCCGACATTTAGTGTCATTAGGAACTGTTTGAGTTCGTTTGGCTTCACTCTGTTCTCCTTCAAACATTCCCTCGACCTCCTGAAACTGAAGGACAGCGAGGAGGAAGAGGAGCTGATTTGTGCGACTGTACCCAAAGCCTCATGGCCTCTTTGTGAGCTCGTCTGTTGGGGATGTGCAGCCCTGATTTCCTGATTAGGACCCGCCTAAATAAAAGCTGGTCTCCTCCTCATCATCTCCACACACCGGGACGCGGGAAACCTCGTACAGGGGCGGAGTCACTGATGGTGTTTAAAGTTTAATAGTTGATGGACTGAGCAGATTTATGGACCGGATAAAGATCTGGGAAGTTTCCTGATCACTTAGGTCTCACCTTTGCCCCGTGACGCGGAGCTCCACCACGCTGGACGAAGTCGGTCTGTGAGGAAGTTCTTCGTTAATAAAATCTGCATGAAAACGACTGAAACGAAAAGATAAACGAGGATTTCTGATGTTTGGTGAATCTCGGGTGAGACGTGGAGTTCGCTGTGATACTTGTTTCACGCAATGCTGGAAATATTAAACATCAAACTCTTAAAGGATTCAGACTCAAAGACTTTTATTTTTTTAAGGAATGTTTGCAGGAAAAAAAAGCTTACAAAGTACGAGCACGCCACTTTCTAACCGCCAAACCTCGCGATCAGTCCCATAACAAAGAAAGCACTCAAAGATACGCGGTGGTCCCCTCGTCCGGACAATAAATACATCACCACCATCGCTCCTCTGAAGTCATCGACATCTAACACCAGAAACTGGCGCTGTCGTCGATGCTGTGACGCCGCTGCCTGACTCGACGTTCCCGAGGAGCCGACCGTCACAAATGAATTTCGAGTACCCGAAGGTCCTGAACCCGCCGGAGCGGTCACGGCTGGTACTGTCGGTACTGCGACTGTGAAGCCAGAGGGTTTCCGAAGCGCAGCGGCGCCGTCGACCCGCCAAACGCAGTTCTGTAGCTCTGAGAGGACGGCCCCCCGGCGCTGCCCACGCCCAGTCCGAGCCCGACCCCCAGACCCTGTGTGCCCAGTCCCATCCCGCCACCAGGCCGCGCCAGGCCCTGATTCAGCATCCCTGTGTAGGGGGTCGACCCGTAGGAGAGTCCCAGGCCTCCGTACGGCCTGTGGGTGTGGTGTCCCAAAGCGGCGAGGACCATTGGCTGCACGTTCCTCCCCGGAGTGTCGAAGGAGAACTCCGGAGGGGGGCTGGTGGGTTTGGAGGGGGTGGAGGTCAGTGGGTCGAACTCTCCTCCCGGGGACAAGAGCAGAGGAGGCAGCGATGAGGCGAGGGCGGCGTAGCCATCAGCAGCACCCAGCGGGGAGGCAGTGGGCGAGGAGGATGAGGAGGAGGAGAGGGCCCCGGTGAGGAGGGGCCGGGACCAGTCGTCTTTGAAGATCTGCACGGTCAGCGTGGAGACGAGTGGCAGCAGCCGGTTGGTGACGTGAGCCAGAACCAGCTGCTCGTTGGCGTCGCGGCGGATCCGGACGTGGGCGGAGCCAGCCTGAAACACAAGAACAGAGAGAGAGAAGAGCTAACTCTTCAGTAACTGCTCATCAAAGCGATTAAATACAAACACGCTCCAGACCAGATCAATAACACACAGATTACAGTAAGCCTGATCATGCAGTTCCTCTGACGTCCACACGGGGCTCACTCCACATACACGCCTATACTAAAATGCCCATACGATGTCTATCGATGCCCAAATATGGTCATATCTGGCTCCGAAAACCCAAAATGAAGCAAAAAAAGCTTCAAAATGCAGAAACCAGCGGGTTATGTGACGGTGGCCACGCCCACACGGCCTGAAGTGTCTTCCAGCCCGTGACCCCGTTATCAGTGCGCAGACACGAGAGTGATCATCTGATCCGAAATCATGCAAACAGTTCAGATCCAAACACGTCTCCAGTGTTCCTGCAGCGCTCCTCGGGCAAACCGAGCGGCGTCACAAACGTGCGCTGAAACGAAGCTTAGCTGGACTCTAAACGCTGTTAAATCCAACCTCTCTGACCTTAAAACATTAAACACAGTTTGTCATTTCTGTTGTTGGGAATATTCAGACCTCACAAGGACAGACTCCCTCTCACACACACACACACACACACACACCACACACACCCACACACACACAGCACGACACACCACCAAACAAGCACACGCACACACACGCACACAGCGAGCACGCATCAGGCAGTCAGGGGGTCAAATCAGTTTGGACAGCTGCAACTGCACACGCAGCACCACACACACACAACACATCACCGCGCAGCCAACGCGCACTAACAACAATCGCACCACACACACACGCACGCACAGACACGCACAGCCACACACGCACGCACACACACAACACACACACACACACACACACACACACACAGACACACACACAGACACACACACACACACACACACAGACACACACACACACACTCACACACACACACACACACACACACACGCACACATACACACACACGCACACACACACGCAGAGCGAATCGCCCCATGGGGCAGAAGTGCAGTCAGGGGGTCAAATCAGTTTGGACAGCTGCTTTGTTAGCAGTGGGCCAACAACCAACAGTTGTGTAACTGCAGCAGCATCACAAACGACAACACGAGGGGCGGCGGCATCGACAACACGAATACAAACAATAAAAACAGCATCAGGGCGAGGTAAACACGGGCGCTGCGCCACCTGGAGGCAGGCAGAGGAACGGCGGCCTTCATCCTTCATACCAGAGAGGAGCTTTCAGCAGACACACGCCTAACACAGAAGGTTTGGCCTGTAACCATGGATACTGTGGTGATGTCATCTTTAACCCCACAGACATGAGCCTCGGCTGGAAAACGCCTCCGTGCCTCGCAGCTCTTCGTTTACAGGAGATCCAAGAAGAAGTCTAAACTCAACCTGAAGTCGCCGATTTCAACCAAATTTAAACCTTGACAGGCTCAAAGCACCCACCCCTCCCACTCCATCACCCCATCTGACCCAACCGCTCCACCCATCTAAACCCCCGGAACCAATGGGTGTGTTCACTGAAGTCTCGAGGGCGCTGCAGGGTGGACAAATTTGACTAAACGTTGTGTTTTGGTTTTATTAACATGTATGAGCCGAGTGATATGAAACTGTGCTAGCCTTATGTTAGCGTCTCAGTACAAAACTCCAACAGGAAAGCTGCTAATTTAAGATAATAAGCTATAAAGCAGAACTGAAAGCTGACTCATGAAGTGCAGATGAACTATTTTATCCCTGTTTGAACTTTGTTGTTTTTATTAGCGACTGCTTCACTTTTACTTCCTCACTTTGTTTTTAGGACGTTAAAAAAACGCAGGAAGTGGACAGGAAGTTCTCCTCGTGTGAACCTTCAGGCTCAACAGCAGCACGGTTAAATTATCCATAAATTATAATGAGCATCTGAGCCCGGCAGAGGAGACTGTCGGTGTGTGCGCTCCTCTCTGTGTGCGTCCCGCCCTGAAAGCCAGCTGGGTTTGTTTGCGTTGCGACGACAGCAACACGAACAACAACAACAACAACGCACCCCCAAAAAACAGAGAGGGAGAGGAGGGGGGAGCCAAGTCTCCGCATGAATGAGTCGTTCCTTCTTTTCGTCTCGTTGAACAAATCCCTGCAGATCATCGCTCTAATCCGACGAATGACGGAGGAGCGGACGGAGGAGGGAGACGGGACAAACTCAACAGGAAGAGGAAGAACCGTCAGAGAGGAACTGATCAGCAGACCCTGAGAGACCTCTGACCCCGCTCTGTAAGTAACCCGATTCATTTCTTTAAAAGAGATCGCGGCGCCCTCACTTATTTATTTACTACGAGTCTGCAGAGCTGCACTCAGGCTCAGCCCAGGATACGTTTTCCTTATCGGGCTTCACTGATTCTAACGCCAGCGATCCGACGCCACGAGTTTCTCCGTCGGCCTCTGTCACTCACCAGACATCCAAAGCCAACTGTCCAGAAGTGCTCGTTTCGGACCTCCAGCACCCCGTCCAGAGTCGACACCTGATTGGACACAAGAAGGCACAAATAGCCAATCATAATCAGTCATAATCAGTCAGTGTGCTGTTCTCTCAGCTGTTCCTAATAAAGTTTAACGTGGTTTACGGCGTTTGCTCGCTGGTTTCCGTCTGACGTTGACCTCGTGTTGTGTCTGAAGGACTCAGAAACCAAGCTGCCGTCACCGTTAACGTGAATGAAGGAAACATGAACAGCAGCCATGTTTGGAGGGTTAGCTCAGGACTTGTTAACTCTCTTTAACTAAAGTTCATGTTGTGAGTCCCTGATGGGCGGAGACGAACGCCATCGTACGACAGGAAGCTGAAAACGGAAGCTGTGAAATGATCCGCCCAGTCAGTAATCTGCTACTTCGTGGTTTGGATTGACTGTGAACGAAGTCGAGATCCTGAGCGTCGGTGAAATCGCAGTCGGCCCCGAGGCGTCCGCTCAGCTGCAGAGGTTTGAAATTCGAGTTTCTGCACAGTTTAATGGTGCAGTGTGCTGGACACCCCATCGACACCTCAACAGTTACATTTGCGCTTGAAATTTGATCTTAAATGCCAAAAGTGACAGTTTTATGCAACGATCTGGACTCAATGTAAGTGATGTATGAAGCCGAGCGCCTCGCAGGGAGAATTTGATTGGTGGATCCAGTTCATGTTTGGATTTTAAACTCTGGTTATGATGAATTCTGGGATAAAACTAAGCAGTAGAAACACTTCCTGATGTTGCAGTAACGCTGCGATAAAGCGCCGGCTCTCACCTCTCTCAGAAGCTTGTCCAGCTGCCCGATGATGTGGGAGGGCGTGGTCTGTGGGCGAGAGGCGGTTAATAATCATGATCACGTGGCTTCCATACCTGCATCATATTTTGGGGTTAAAGGTCAAAGGGGAGCGCACTGTCCCGTCTGTCTCACCTGCAGCAGCACTTTGCCGCTGTACACGCTCATGGGATACATGGTGCCGAAGGTCATGAGGGCGATGGCGACCGCAGACGCCGTGTCCACCGCGTTGAAGTTGCTGAGCACACAGATCACGGACACGAGAGAAGAAATGGTTCATCAAACACAAAGAAGATTTCCACTTTTCTAAAATAAATAAACGGCATCACTGTCACCCCCACAGATCCTGAAATAATCCAGTCTGTAAATGAGCCGATACAAGCGCACAGTTCACTCTGAGGAAGACTTCAGAGGAATAAATGACAATATTCATGTTATTCGTTGAAGCTGGTCGACATTTTCATCTGTGCACGTTTGCCTCTCTAAGCCCAGCACAGCTGAAGATATAAAAGGGAAGCAGGGATGGAAACGGCATCAGCTGAACAAACTCGGGCTGGTTAAACAGATCGTGGACGAGCGTGAACGTGGGGATTTACATCCACGCAGATTAAATTCTTACTTGATTTCGATGAGCATGTAGGTGATGCACAGGGACAGAGCTCCCGCCATGTTGATCAGGACAAAGGGGTTCATGCGAGGCAGCAGCACGCTGCTCAGGCCTGGAACGATGCCACACAAACTACACACAGACACACACAGGGAAACAAACAGAAACAGGATTAGTGCACATGATCACCTCCACATTCTCCCACTGAACAAACTCCAAAAGCTCCTCCAGCGTCAATAAAACATAAAAAAGATTAAAATACGACCGAAACATGAAACAGGTCACTTCCTAAGGAAGCTTCCTTTACGTATGTTTCCTACATCCTAGTTTTGATTTATAATTTTTTTTCTAACTGTATATTATTAAAAATAAGTGCAGTTATGCTCACGTGCATGTTCTGCCTGTTTGGTTGAAGACTTGTTTGGTGATCGTTGTGAATGAAACTGTCATTAAAATCAGACCAACACTCGGAGGAGCAGCAACGTTATCAACTGTGCAAGGACGGCTGTGTGACAGTCACCTCCCGGTCGCACGAGCTCATTGGTCGTGCAGCGAGCGAATTTTAAAAAAAGCAAAACTGTAAACATCACGTACGATGCGTCCCGGAGGCGTCAGATGAACCAGGAGACCTATTGATCCATGAATCACTCAGCCTCAGCATTAATAACTCCTCCTCCACGTCTCGCCAGCTGCTCACGTGAAAACTTTCTGCCGAAGTTAAAATCTTTGGTTGGATTTGCTTCTGTTCACGTTTGCGCCCGTCGGCTTCGCTGCACAAAATCAGACTGTGCAAAAATAGGTGTGAACACACCTGAGGGGTTCTCGACTGATGACCTCACAGGGTTAACAGGACACCCTCACCTCATTGGCTCATCGCAGACACAGCAGCAGGTTCAACTTGTTAATAAAATGTCAAATTCTCGCACCTCTGAGTCTGTGTGCTCTCAAGTCTTTCTGGCGTCAAACAGGTAACAGGTGCGCAAAGGTATGAATTTAAACTGACTTCATAGTTTCATAGTATCTGGAATTCCTGAAACCCAGCAGCGTCTCTGGGAGGCAGAGCCCTGAATCCTCCGGTGTTTATATTTGTCTTCAGGTTTAGGCCTTTAACCCGATCACGCCATCATAATGGACTTTAGGGGGATTTGAACTGGACCTGATGGGATCATTCTTGTTTTGTTTCATGTTAGTTTAAGCTCCGACCGAGCTCCCGCACATCCTGCCTGAGCATCGGAGAAGAGCCGTCACACGAAAAACTCCCTCTGAGTTCATGCCAACAGCAGCAAATGGTTTAATGTGGGAGGAGCCGACGGGGACGCTGATCTAAACGATCCCGGGAGTGAAACGCTAAGGACCTGCTCCAAGAAGCAGCGATCCCGACTCCATGATCATCAGAAGGACGAGGAAATAGGCACTGAAGATGAAATATAGTGTATCCCACAGTACAAAAGAAAACCCTGATGAATGATAATAATACAGTGAAATATCAAAAAGAATTTCAAATGGTTTATTAAATACAGTCACATGTATCAGACAACAGCAGATATGAATATTTATACAGATACATGCTCATTATTTGCTGCTGGTTGGATAATAATAAAGAAGAAGAAGTAACAAATATAATAAAGGTGTGCGATGAAAGTCGACCACCTGCAGGAACAGTTTGACCCCTCGACCTTAATTGTTCCTCTCAGCTGAGGTCAAAGGTCGCGCTAGCGTAAAAAACAGCACCTGTGGAGCTGCGGAAAGTTTCGGTTTCTTGCACTTCAGCAGGAAACGATGCATCTGACAGGACCTAATGTGATGTGACAGCGTGACGTGATGCAACGCGGCGTGACACACGAAGACGCGGTGGCGGGATGGTGTCCCGATGGAGCGCCACACGTCGCGGTTCAGAGACAGCGGCATGGCGCCGGATGTTCAGCCTGAGAAGACTCGACTGAACGAGGTCAGAGAGGACCGCCCATCGATGACGCCTCGTCCGAAGACGAAGATCGAACGCAGCCTGCGGACGGGCTCGCCGTCATTTTATAACCAGCTAAAGAGAAACGTTGGCCTCAGGACACGCTGCCAAAAATGCTGCTGTTCCAGCTGTGACAGAAGAAAAGGACATCCTCCGTCCTAATCCTGCCCCAAAACCTAAAAGAGCACCTCTACGGAGGGCCCACAGTGCCAACAACCGAAATCCATAACATGAAACGCAGCAAAAAGACCTCGCGCCCCTGGTGAGACTGAATATGTCACATGGCCGCACTCTGCCGCCGCTGCCTGGGCGTGTATCATTAGATGATGATTAGAAAGAACGCAGAGACACGCATGTCAACACGTAATTAACGTCAAACATGTCATTCAGAGAGGCGTGTGCTCGCCACGGGCGGAGCTGGAGGAACAGACGAGGGGGACATCACATGTTTAGCAGCAACAACAGAAATGCACGTGCTCCTCCTTTAATGTCTTCAAGGTCAGCTGACGGCGTCATCAGATCCTGCGGCGGCTCCTCGGACGGTGAATAATGGAGGGCCGGGCAGGCGGTGATGTTAGCGGGATACTCGAGCACATGTTGCGATTCACCGGAGGACGCTCCGCGTTCATATCTGAGCCGCGGCGAGGAAACCTGAGCGATGAGTCACGACACGGGAGCTGCTGGGTTCCCCTCGCCAGGCTTAGGAGGTGCTTTTATGTCCCCGCAGGACCTTTGAGGCGTGCAGAAAATAAGGTTTAGGTGTCTTCCTCATCATCATCGTCACTGCTCGTAGCTTTAAGATTGCAAAGATTCATCAGGATCATTTAATTAAAGCAAAAATGGATGTTTGAAGAGTTTTTTCCTTTAATTTACGTAAAACTGAGGCACAGACGAAACAAAATGATCATCTGATCTTGTTACTGGAGCAAAGCTCCGGGCTCTTTAATCTGACGTTCAGTGAAAAACTGAGTCTGCACACTGTGAGAGCAAAAGACACAAAGGAGGCGAGACTCAGAGTGTCGAGGATGAGCCTGACAATCCCAGCGATCCCATAATCCCCGCTGATGCATTGATATAATTTGACATGTGACCTTGTGTGTGCTCATCCAGAGCGGCTGCAGGATTTAAGCAAAGTCACAAACGAACTCTTGATACCCCGTGGCGCTCTGCCGGCTCCACAACGAACCCGATAACAAGAAGACAAACGCCCAAACTGCAACCCGTTACCCTGTGGGAAAACTCCAGTTTAGGTAAGGGGCGGAGCCTGGACACAGCGCTGCAGGAGGCAGGGCCACGACTACTCGATCACTGTGAACTCTCCAGGCTGAACGCGGGCTCGACTGAAGCGCCGTCCGAAGCATGCAGCGATCTGCTCAGGGGACCAATCACATTTAAAGTTGCTGCTGGTTGAAGCCGTTCACGCCCATTGGAGACAAATGATTGTTTATTTGAAACAACGACAACGGAGTCGGTATAAACGTACGCGGTCCAGCGCTGAAGCTTTGAACTCGGCGTTTTCACTGATACCATCTGAGGAACACCTGAGCACACCTGGGATAATCCTCTAAAGCCCGTCCACGTTTAAACCAATTAACTTGTTGCGTACACTTTGTAGCCGGTCACTAGTGGACATTCGTAGATAACCCTTTAATGCTTTTACCACCTCGTGCATCCATCAGCAGCATCCTTGACTCACGCTGAGTGTGATGCAGGTTTGAATCTCTGTCAGAGGTTCTGATGGAGCTGCAGGGAATTACGATCGACATGTACGGACATGTTTCATTTCTACTAGGGTTGGACCGATATCACGCATCGGTCCGATACTGACCTAAATTACTGGATTGGATATCGGAGAGACATAAAAAAATCTAATCTGATCCATTCAATATCACCAAAGCACCTCCCAAAACTAGCGACACGGCGTAACTCAGCTCATAACGTTAGCACGTCGGAGCAGTATGCGTCACGTGATAGAGCGGCTGTGGCGTGCCAGACCTGTCGGCGGTCTGGTTGAGCATTTGAAGCCTCGCTACCAAACCGGCATTTCAAAGTAACAAAGTGGCATCGTGCCATCTCTAATTTCTACACTGCAGTTTGTTTATAAATAATGTCGTTCCCGTGGCTACGCTTTTAGCATCCCGGCCTAGTTCCAGAAAACATCTGCAGGAAAAAAACTCCAGATCAACACAATTTAAGACAAACTGGTTTCAAGTCTCAGCTTCCACCCACAAATATCAGGTGTGCAGATATTCAGCTCCCTGCAGCCTGACTCGAGTTCACAGTGAACTGTGACGGACCCGTGGAATTCAGGAAGCAGGGAGGAGTACAGACTCCTCCCTGCTTCCTGAATATGAAACAATAATTTACATCCAGCCTGTGAGCACATAAAGGCATCAGGAAAGGTAAAATTCATGCAAGGTGAAGCGTTATTGGAGCCAGTGTGACTGCCCCCTGCTGGCGGTCAGAAACACTTCTCTGTTTGCGACACGTCTCAGATCCGGGAGCTACGGCCCGACGGCTCCCGAGGGAAACGTCTGCATTTCGAGCCGCTAAAAGCTTCTCCGTGTTCAGCAGCGAGCGTCTGACTGAGCCGTGTCTGTTTGCTGCTGAGCAGGTACTCCGCTGTGGCTTTTTAGAGCTTCTCCTCTGAACACAGACGCCTGCTGCGAGTGAAAACAACGCTACGGGCAACCGCTCTCGCGCTGTCACAATATTTTCACATCGTCATTAGAAAAAAACGCCAGTTTAAAAAAAGAGAGCGAAGAAGACGCTCAGTGATACAGCAAGTGTTTTTAACTTCAATGCAAAAGGAGTCCTGCATACAATAACCTGAAATATGACACAACACAGCAGCTCAATGTAAACATCACATGATCTGCAAGGAAACAATTAAATATGTGTAAAGACTTCAGCTCATACAGATGTTCAATGATGAACATCTGCAGTCACACATCTGTCTGCTGCCCAGGTGTTTGGGGGCTAATCTAAGCTCATTGTGACATCACTAGTCTAGTCCAATCATCTTTGTGCTGGCCTTCTCCAGGCCAATCAATTTAGATGGAAAAAAGAAAATAAAGAGAAAATTAAATTACCAACTGAGTTAAGTTGGTAGAGATTTCTAAGTGTCGAATGATTTTGACTGTGGTCAGACGTCCTGCCTGCACGGGCAGAAAAAGACGTGGGACTCCGTGACCTCCGTGGTCTCCTGTGACCAACAAGTCGACTCCATCAGAGGTCAACCATCCATCATGTTATCAAGGTGATGCAGAGACTAGTCTCCGCCCACCTGAGAGCACAGGTAGAACCTCCCTTGACCCTGAGAGGTTTGCACGCAGACTGAATCTGGGGGTGGCTGATGCAGTCCTCTGCATGCACGGTTAGAAACGCCTCCTCTGGTTCCTCACGTGCATTGACACGATTCAGCAGCTGCTACTGAGAGAGTAGCTGCAGGAAACACCTCAGGAGGCGATAACGTCTCCATTCCTGCTCACCTTCGACACTTTGAGGTCAAAAACACTCTGGGTGTGTTAGTGATGTTCAGGAGGAGGAGGACAGATCTGCTCCTGCATGTGATAGCAGCAGAGATGGTGAGAGGACGGCTACACAGCTGACGTCTGGGACAGGATGTCAGGGAGGTCCAAGAGTGCGCGTACCTGGGCGTCCACATTGATAACAGGCCGAGCTGCAAGACCAGTGCAGAGGCTGGATACGAGAAGGATCCGAGCAGGCTCTGCTTCCAGGGAACGCACCACAGTGGATTTCTGCAGTAAGATGGGGGAGCAGCATCGAGCTGCAGCCTCCAGCAGACGGGATAAACTGATCAGGAAGTCGGGCACACAGGAGCTGCCCTGAGCGCAGACGCAGGAAGACACATCTGCCAGATGTTGTTGTGACTCTTCATCATGTCTGCCGTAACAAACGCACAAGTCCAGACATAATAAAGAATTTCTCATCTCTGTATGTAAACGTAGACAAATGTGCTATAAATAAAGTTACTATTTAAAAAAACTGAAGACGGTGCAGCGATGCTTGGAAGTAACCGGACGAGCAGGATCAGGGCTTGTTAATCCAAATCTGCACATTTTTTACTTCCTCTGTCTCTCTCCTCCCCGGTGGCAACTTACACACACACACACGCACACGCACACACACCACACACACACACGCACACACACGCGCACACGCGCGCACACACACACACGCGCACACAGCTCAGGCTTCTGGCTGGTGAGGCTGACCGAGCAGCAGGCTTTATATAACCCAGTTGGCCCTCAGACCATGCTGGGGTTAAGTGGGGACAGGCTGTGATAACACACACACAGTAACACACACACACAGCATCTCTGTGTGTGTCTCTCCCACACGCAGTCAAAGAGTGGAAACTAGGCTGGGACGTCCTGTTCACTTCTGCCCTCTCAGCCAATCACAGCGCAGTTCTGTTGCACAACTCTCCAGGCTGTCACCCTGAGTAACCCGCGCCGACTGAGCCGCTGACTCTCAGCGTGCGTGTGTGTGTGTGTGTGTGTGTGTGTGTGTGGTGCGTGCGTGCGTGCGTGCGTGCGTGTGCAGACATCGTATATTTCACCCACTTCGGATGCCGGAGTGATGCAGCAGCATGGAATATTTATCACAGGAGCAGCAGAGGCTTCAGAGCCGGTCGACAGGTTGCACACGGGAAGTTGCCTTTGGTGTTTCATCAGACGCGACGACACAATTATCAAACACCGATTAATGCTTCATGCTTTGATTGCATAACTTGACATAAGGAAGCTGAATTCTGGGAAGCATTTCAAATTTCTGATTCCATGTTTCTATTTTTGGATTCGACTGCAGCAGCTTTGCACGATTCACTGTTAAAAATAATCAACGTTTACCTCACCTGCTGGATAATAAGCCCCGCCCACATATAAAGCACATCGTGCGTCACCCGACTGCCACCTAGTGGACAGTCCTGGCTACTCGCTTATTTACCGCCTCTCACACGTCCGTAAAGAGCATCCTTTGTTCTCATTGGCAGTCACTGGGTTTGGACTGATTTCATCAGCCAGCAACGACTCGCCAACCACTCCGGGAACACAAACTTTTTCCTGGAGACGTGTAGCTGTCAGAGGGTCATCGGCCAGTCTGTGTGTCTGCGTCACTGACGCCTTATTTCGCTTTCATTTGCTTAATGTCACTTCCTGTGGTACGCCCCCTGAGGTCATCAGCCATTGTCCAACTCTCAATTCTCCCTCAGCTCTAAAAATCAAACACTGCGGCGCCGCTGAGACTCAAAACGTCCAAATTCCTCCAGTTCAAACGGACGGATCAGTGTGGCTGTTTCCCCGGGTCGGTCACGACCCAGGCTGAGAGTGACGGGTGCAGGGGTTTGATGATGCTGCAGAAGAGTCGTGCCTGTTGTTGCTGACGTCTCGTTCTCTTAAACCAACCATCGATCGGCCTCAGAAAGACTCGCGGTTACGATAATATTCACTGAACTAACGCAGCATCAGTGGCGTAGCTTCGGAGGCTTTTCCTTCCTGACCAAGGAAAACGTCTGCAGTTCTTCTGGGCGTTGATCCTCCGGATCAACAGAATTTAAGACAAACTCTGCTCTGGTGCAAAGTCTCAGCTTCCAACCACAAATATCAGGTGACCAGAAACTGTCAGCGGGGGGATATTCAGCCCCCTGCTGCCTCGCCTCTGCAGACAGAAACTGATCTAACAGCTGTTTCTGAGAAGACAAATCAATGAGGCTAACCTTTGACCCCAGAGGCCATACACCTGGGCACACACAGGGTGTAACATACAGGATGGATGTGTGTGTGTGTGAGTGTAAGCAGAGCGAGGAAGCGTCCTTACCTTCGACTTAAATCTGCCACATGCTCCTGAAGCCAACTGCTGCTAGCCGCTGAGGAGAGAGAAAGATCGGTTTAATACAGCAACAAAAACCACACGCAGCCTGTCTGAGGGTCCGAGGGTGGAGCGGTGGTGGAGCGGTGCACGGACACGATGAGCCCGGCTCGTTGATGGCTGCACTCGTTAAACTTTTCAGATCAAACACGAGGAAACTGGGGTCAGTGTCCCATTTAAAACCAAAGGAAGGTCAAACTGTTATTTTTAACCTCCTAACTCTTTGATGGCATTTTTAATCTTTGCTATTTGGGCTGACTGCGACCTGATGAATGTAAAAACAAAGAGTTGCCTGATTTTTGTTTCTGACAAAAATGTGATGTCCACATATGAGGAGCCAGGTCCTCGGAGGTTAGACTGAGTTGACTTTCTTCTCCTTTTTTTAAACTTTTCTGTTTTGGAAAATGTGGTTTCTGCCCTTCGAGCCCTTCATGATGTCACTCTTGTATTTAACGCCTCTGCCTGAATACAAACGTGATTGGTCGGATCATCAACAGTGATCGCAGACCCTCTCACCTGCACCATATTAATCTTACAGTTCTCATAGGATAAGGGCATGGGCGGGTTATTTTTAGTATAAGATTCTGTATTATTAAAGTTCATGTTTAGATTAGAGTGAAGATTAAAGGAACAACGTTTTTTATACTTATGTGCTCACCGCACACGTATGACCCCAGCTGTAGGAATATTTTCTGATCATAAAATTGTTTCCCGTTTCTGCTCCTGCATCTTTTCACTACAGGCTTTGATTTTGTCGCTGAACACAGCCGAGCTACGAGATTTACCGCTGCAGGTACTCAGTGCTCAAAGTGACGATTAACAGAGTTCAGCTGACAGAGATGAGTCGGGCTTATGAACAAAATGATAGAAAACCATATCGGATCTCTTTCTGAGTCAGCTGTAGAGGAAGCAGGTGTGACAGACTCCGCCCAGCCTGCGTCCTGGCCCGGGTCCTTCAGCGTTACAGATTCAGACACGATGACGCTTGTTGTGGAGGAACGGAGAAGCTCGAGATGGAGAGTGGAGGACACGTTTCGGTCTCAGTGCTGCATGAAGGTCCCAGCTGTTTCACTCCACAGCTGCCTCCGTCAGCTCCGTCCTATAGATCTGACACTCGTGGACTCCCGCTCACCCAAACCTGCAAAACTGTACATCGCAGTTTTCTTCTACTTCTTTTTTGGTTGTTGGGTGGGCGGGGGTGAGGGGAATCTGATTACAGTGTTTAAAGTGAGGAGGGCGTAGCCGCCTCCATGATGAGGAATAAAAATACCTCCCACTCGTCTTTAAAAAAAGATAAGCGCTCTCGCTCGGCTGCGCCGTCCCACCTTTAATGTTTGAAGACGCCGCGAGGCCCGAAGGCTCAGCGTCGGGTCAAAGGCCCTTCACATCCCATCCTGCTCAACCCCCGAGTGTGTGTGTGTGAGGGAGAGTGTGTGTGCTCTGTTTGTTTTGCTAGCAGGGTGAGTCAGTCTAAACAAACATTTTAATGGAGTGACTTATTTATGATCCGTGTGCACGAGGACGCCGTGTTTGTGTGTGTGTTGGCATGTCTTTCTGCTCGCATGGCCCCCTGGCACACTACATTACCACTGTCTGGAACATGGTTGCGTAATGCACTTTTAGTCTCGCTCCATCAGAGATGCTGTGTGTGTGCGTGCGTGTGTGTGTGTGTGTGTGTGCATGCGTGCGTGTGTGTGTGTGTGCGTGTGCGTGTGTGTGTGTAATGAGTGAGAGATTGTGTGCTTCAGCAAAGTTAAGTGCCCGTGTGTGTTTGTGTGCGAGCGTGTGCAGCTTCATCCCCCTCCTGTTCCAAAATGTCAGATGTTAAGTGATGTTGAGACTGCTCCGAACGCAAGAACAGACAGCTGACGAACACACACACACACACACACACACACACACACACACACACACACACACACTGACCTCATTCATCGGTAGACTGTTCATGCAGTGAGTCAGCCGGAGAGGAGAGGAGACGAGGGGAACACATGAGAGGAAAGGAGAGGAGGAGAGGATCTGTCGGTCTCCTTCCATCTTTTTATTTCTCCACATGATGACGGTTTGGATTTTTAAGGAGAAATGATGGAAAAAGGAGGCTGGAGTGAAGGAATGAAGGGAGCAAAGAAGGCTCTAAGCTGTGTGGCTTGTGGCTTGTTGTTTATGGACCTTTCAGGCTCCTCCTCCCTGCACAGGTGTACACCTGGTTGGCCAGGTATATTCTGAGGTTTATTTTTACCTTTTCATCCATCAGATTTTTAAAGTTCAGTTATCGCTACGAATCTCAGGTGGACTTCAACTCCAACATTAGTCCTTTTTCTGCTCTGGAGAATTTTAATTCCAGTTATTATAGGCAGGGTGGAGCGGGTGGAGACGAGTGTCAGGGGTGAGCTGTGACAGAAGGTGAGCAGGAAGACTGAAAGAGGAGGTTTAAAGATGGCGCTGAGATGGCGATGGTTTGGAGACGGTGGAGCTGAGCTGATGTTCGCTGGGAGCGAGCGGGATCATCTCCTCCACAGAAGTCTGTATCCTACGTGGGTGGACGGCCAGTCGACTCCTGGTGCTTTTAAATGTTCTTAAAAGGGACTTCAGGAAACCTTCAGGAGCATGGAGCTGCGTTACCCCTTTAAGACCTACCATAGAACCAAGTCCGCCAGAGCTTACTTTATATTTTTACATGCTGCGGAGCCATTTCTGGGAGCATTTCAAGCTGCTATACATCAATACAACTGTTATAGCCCAAATTTTAATAATATTTATGCATTAAATCCATAGTAACCACATTAATTGCAAAAAAGTGCAACAAACTACTGAAAAATTGAAAATCGTTTTTGTTTTTTTACATATATTTCTAATTAGAGAAATTTAAGAGGTTTATCCCTCAAAACTTTAAATACAAAAAAGTTGCAAAAAATAGTTTACAACCACAGGAAATTTATTTTGAGTGTCTTCATAGTTTTATTTTTGAGATACAGCAATTTTTATATACTGTAGGAAAAACGAAAAACAATCCTATGATGCAAATTTGCAAAGAAAACAGCAGGTGCATCAAAATAAACTATTTCCAGCAGTGCAATTCGAGTTCTAAGCATCCCAGCAACTATTCAGAAAAGCATAAAGTCAAACATGACTTATAAAAACACCAGTATAGGCGTTTAAGGCCTACAAGTAAAAAAACTACATTTTCCGTGAAAATGACGTCACTTCCGGTTTCGGACAGGAAATGGCGGACATGCGATAGTTCGCGCTGTTTCACTGTGGGAAGTGTTACGAACAGCTGATCGGATCGGCAAAGCGTGTTTCTGGAATATTATGTTTTTGTTCCTGCAAGCGCTTTTTATGCAATTTTTGCAAAGCTTTATGTGGAAGGAAACCGTGACCGAGGACAAGCTGATGGCATCAGATGTAAGTACAACTCCTCCGGTTTCATATGCAAAAAAATTATTGCGCTAGCTTACGCGGTTCCAGTTCTACAGGGATTTAAAAATAGTTACGCAAAACGGAGCGTGCTGCTCTGACCGGCTTTAAAGGGTTAAAGCTTCAAATCTAAAGACATTCATTTCACTCTTGTTTGTAAAAGGCTCTGAATCCATTAGGTTTGGGTAGAACTCAGTCCGTTTTTGATATGTGCTTCAAAATGATGCCCCAAACCTTTAGATAACACGTCTCACAGAAATCTTAGTGATGGGTTCAGATAACAATAGCAACTGCATACACACATTCTCGTTTTGCTATCTTAGTGAGGACATCTACTTGAAAAATAAATGCCTAACCCTTAGCCTAAGCCTAACCATAACCCAACTGTAACCCTGACACTAAAACCACATTTTGAGTCTCAAAAAAACCTTCACACTTGTGGGGACTCCAGGAAGATATGAATACACACACACACACACACACACACACACACACACACACACAGCAGGTGGGGACACGCACTGGTTTAACTGCGATGAAGAGGCAGGACGTACCTTCTGAGACGTAGGCGAATGGTTTGTTCCTGACCGACAGTAAAGTCAGCAGGTTGAAGAAGAGAGCGACGAAGGTCCCGACCAGCAGACGCCCGCTGCAGACAGAGAGAAACACGTTCAACATGTTATCCAGACACGGTTAGGTCTGCAAACGTTCCCACAGGAACACGGGGTTCACATGTAGGCACGACAGATCTGAATCAAAGGATCGGACTCTGATCGCCTCAATTCAAGGAGCCAAACACAAATATTGCTTTAAAAGTTTATGACTGCAGTCGCTTTTGTACATTTTCAGATGAAGAAGTAGAATAAAGTCCATGCAATAAATCTAAGATACACTTTTTGTATTTTAAATATACGTGTTAAAGGAATGACGGTAGATTGTGGATGGGATTAAGATGCTGGAACGATGGCTTCAACTTATATTTGCGTTTTCTTTCTATTTAAATGAAATAATTTGTGCTGGCAACCTCAGGTGTGCCATCTTCTTTATATATTGCGTTCACTGAGATTTTTGTATTTTTTAGCTGCGGCTCTTTGAGCATCGAGCTCTGATCGGCATGGATGGATTTCCATCGATCAGAGTTGGATTCAGGAGCTGATGAACGGCGTGCTGCACAGAACTGTAGAGGTTACGAGGAAAGGTGAACGCTGTGAACTCCAATAAGTCTTTGAAACATTTGAAATTCTTATGATTGGTCACAAGGTTATTGTAGTTATCTAAAACTAAAAACTTAAACTTGACCTTTAAAAAACTGAAACCTCGAGAGTTTCACTTACTAAACAAAACAAACACTGAAACTGAAGTGGAGCAAACAGACTGAGCCCCCACGTGGCCACACCCTCGCCTCCCCGAGACCTTTTCCAGCGATCGGGCCCTCAGATCATCTGATCAGGGTCCACATCGGCCGCGCTCGCAAGGCTGTACCTCCTAAAGTGTGACGCAGCCCTGAAAACGCACGTTTACGGGGG